ATTGGCCATGCCAGAACGTGCTCAACACTGGAGCAGAAACACCAACCCTTGGAAAACTGCATGCGGTAGGCGTTGAAGGTCAACGGGGCTCATCACATCGACTCTAAGCCCCGCTTTCGCTTTCATGCCCCCCGCACTCCGGTACACGTGCTCGGTTGTCATATTTGGCAACGGGTCCCATTGCGCCTCGCTGCGGATGAGTCGGAATACCTCCCGCACTTCGCCCAGATCTGGCACCCGTGGTGCCCACAGCTTCTTGAACGCCAGCGCCTTCTGATCCAACATTTGGGCTGGGTGAATCAGCACCTTCCCGTCCACCTCAAGGTCGGGAGGCGGCGTCGGCTGCTGCTTCAAGGCCTTGTGCAACATCCCATTGGCTACAGGATCCGTCACCCGTTGTTTTAAGTCATGCATCGGCTCTCGAATTTTAGCGTTCTCAACAAATCGTGCCAAGATGGGAATTGCCGCCGTCATCGGACTCCTGAGCAGACTGACCCACTGGTCCATGGGCGGCTCCTGGCCTACATCGATTAATGGTGTGTACGTTGGGCGGCCCAGGGTCACACAACTGCCCGCGTATCTTGGCGTACTCGTCGAGTTGCCTCTTCCCATTCAGTCGTTCACGATGGCGCGATGCACCTCCCAGCACAGTGTGTACCCTCGTTCACCATTGACTACGTTGGTCCCCGAGCGGCAGCTGGCGCGTGCGCGCCATGGTCCGCAGCGGGCGCTCGACGAACCTGGCTCCCTCAGGCCGTGGAGCTCCAGGGCAGGCCTGAATGTCGTGATAGTATGGACGGCCTTCTCAACCGCTGCTGCCCAACCAGTACACATGACAGACACAAGTGTGCTGTGCTGAGGTTCGAGCGAAAAGGCTGGAGGAGGAGGAGGAGGAGTAGGAGGAGGAATAATAATAATAACAATGCTAAGAATGATAACAATAATAGTAAGACTAAGACGAATAACGATAATAATACTACTACTAATAATATTAAGAATAAAATTAATAGTAATAATACTAATAATAATAGTAATAAGAATAATAATAATGATGAGACGAAGGATGATACTGATACTAATACTAGTAAGAAGAAGACGACTAATCATACTAACAATAATAATACGAAGAATACGAACACCAATATTACTGTTACTAAGAAGAATAATATGAATACGAATAAGATTAATAACAACACTACTAGTACGAATCATACGAATAAGACTACGACGAATAATAATAATCATAACGCTGATCATAATACTAATGATACGAATAATACTACTACTACTAATACTCATACGGTTAATACTAACCATAATAATCATACTACTACTAGTAATACTACTACTACTAGTACGAATAACAATACTATTAATACTAATAATATTAACCATTCTACTAATAATGTTAATAGTACGAGTGCTACCAATAGTACTACTATTTATTACTAGCAATCGTACTAACAATATCAATACTAGTAACAGTAATAACACTACTAGTAATTGTAATACTAATAATTGGGGAAAGAAGAATAAGAATACTCATCAGACTATTAATACTACTAATACTAATACTAATACTAAGAATAATAAGAATAATAATAATAGTGATAATAATACTAATTTTACGAATAAGAATAGTACGAATGAAATGAGTAAGGAGAAGAATATTAAGAAGACTAATGATACGACGAATAATCGGACTACTACGAAGAATAACAATACGAATAATAGTACTACTAATAAAAATAATAAGACTAATACGACTAAGCATACGAATAATACTAATAATACTAAGAAGAAGAATAAGAATAAGCATGCGAATAATAATAATACTAAGAAGAATAATAATAAGAATATTAATAATAATACCACTAGGAAACATATTATGAATACGAATAAGAAAACGTATAATAATACTAATACTAATAACAATGATGCTAGTAATAATTAAATAAGAAGAATAATGATACGAATAATACTAATAATAAGAAGAATACTATTAATAATAATAATATTAAGAATAATAATAATACTAATACTAATAATAATAACAGTAATAATAATAGTAATAATAGTAATAATAATAGTACTGCTACTACTACTAATAATAATAGAAGTAAGACTAATAATAAGAATAACAATAATACGAATAATGATAATACAAATAATACTAAGAATAAGAATAATGGAGGAGAGGAGGAGGAGGAGGAGGAGGAGGAGGAGGAGGAGGAGGAGGAGGAGGGAGGAGGGCGGAGGGAGGAGGGAGGAGGTTGGAGGGAGGAGTGAGGAGGGAGGAGGGAGGGCGGAGGAGGAGGGGGAGGGAGGAGGGAAGAGGAAGGAGGGAGGGGGAGGAGGGTGCATGGAGGAGGGGGGAGGGAAGACGGAGGAGGGAGGGTGGAGGGAGGAGGGGGGAGGGAGGGAGGAGGGAGGGAGGGAGAGGAAGAGGGAGGGGGAGGGAGGAGGGAGGATGGGGAGGAGGAGGGAGGAAGAAGGAGCAGAAGGAGGGAGGAGGGGGAGGAGGAGGAAGGAGCAGGGAGTAGGGGGAGGAGGAGGGCGGAGGAGGGAGGAAGGGAGGAGGGAGGAGGAGGGAGGAGGAGGAGGAGGAGGGAGGAGGCGGGAGGAGGGTGAGGAGGGGAGGAGGAGGAGGAGGAGGAGGAGGGAGGAGGGAGAGGAGGAGGAGAGGAGAGAGGGGGAGGAGGGAGGAGAGGGGGGAGGAGGGAGGAGGAGGGAGGAGGAGGGAGGAGGATGATGAAACCAGTGAATGATGGCAATTGGCGCCGTAAGGCCTTGAAGGTCTGAGTTGTGGAGGTACGCTGGCACCTCTCCCTACGGCCGTCTTCGTTGGCAGAGGGACCGTAGGGAGAGCCTCGGCCCCCTCCATTGGCAAGGGCGCCGAGAGGTGACAGTGTCAAGAATGGGAGCGGGCCCCCCGGCAGCCCCTATGATGGCAGCTGCCGATAGGGTGGGGCCTATGATGGTCCCCGCCAGAGTGGCTGAGGCCTATGATGGTCCTCGCCCAGGAGGAAAGGGAAGTGAGTCGCCCATTCGCCAACGCTCAGGTACCGGCTTGTTGCGCCCCCAGCGTGCTGGTCCTGATGCGGAAAGTCCTGGAAGGGCAGGGGCGAACACACAAAAGCTGCATACACAGTTTCGACACCGAGACGGAATAGGCCCTGCGCACTCGGTATCCCACGGGGGGGGGCAACGAATGCGCACGTAAACGCGAACGGTCTACGGTACTTGCTGGTCCTTAGGCGGGAAGTCCTGGAAGGGAAGGGGTGAGCACACGAAAGCGGCATACACAGTTTCGACACCGAGACTGAGTAGGCCCTGCGCACCCGGTATCCCACGGGGGGGGCAGCGAGTGCGCACGCAACGGTCAGGTACCCGATTGTTGCGCCCCCCAACCCGGGGGGGCAGCTGCGCCCCGCCGGCGGCAAGCCCGAACAGGGGCAGGCATCCCCCGAATCAAAATCCCCCGAATCAGTCCACTGGGGAAAACACAAAACCCATGTTGGAGGAGGGAGGAGGAGGGAGGAGGAGGGAGAAAGAGGGAGGAGGGAGGAGGAGGGAGGAGGAGGGAGGAGGAGGGATGAGGAGGGAGGAGGGAGGAGGAGGAGGAGGAGGGAGGAACAGGGACAAACTATGTGCGCTCGCGTCATATCTGACGTCCAACCCTTCCCTCCCATTCCTTTCCATGGCGTAGATCTCCTCTCTATTCGCACACTCGGATGTCATAGCACGGCATACCATTACATGGCACAGCATAGTGCTGAAAACCAACGCGTCGCATGACATAGCATGGCGTGGCGACGCCCCAACGTGGGGAGGGGCCTTCGGCGACCCCCAACATTAACGAATCGGCACCGAGTGTGTAATCACTTCCGATGGTTTCTTCGGGGGGGCATTTTTTAGATTTTTGGGCCTATTTGGAAGGGCCGAAAACCATGCCTGGCATGGCGCTGGAAAGGAATGACGCCAGCGCTGCAGCGGGAGCACGATTTCGGGACGAGCGGAAGCGCGGAAATGAGGCCAGCGCTGCAGTGGGAACACGATTCGGAACGAACGGTAACCCGAAAATGAGTCCAGCGCTTCAGCGAGAGCAGCATGTTGAAACACAACCAAGCGAAAATCCGTGAGTGGAGGGGACAAATCTGTCTTGGACGCCACCAGGGAAGAGAGGAGAGTAGTGTTTCATATTGTGTCACTGTGAAGGAGGAGGGATGGGGGGAGGAGGATGATGATGGAGGATGAGGAGGAGGAGTAGGAAGAGGAGGGAGGAGGGAGGAGGGGGGGAGGGAGAAGGGAGGAGGAGGGAGGCGGAGGGAGGAGGAGGGAGGAGGAGGGAGGAGGAGGGGAAGAGGAGGAGGAGGAGAGGAGGAGGGATGAGGAGGGGAGGAGGAGGAAGGAGGAGGAGGAGGGAGGAGGAGGGGGGGAGGGGAGAGGGAGAGGGGAGGGAGGAGGAGGGAGGAGGAGGGAGGAGGAGGGAGGAGAAGGAGGGAGGGAGGAGGAGGAGGATGAGGAGGGAGGAGAGGGAGGAGGAGGGAGGAGGGAGGAGGAGGAGGAGGGAGGAGGAGGGAGGGAGGGAGAGGAGGAGGAGGAGGAGGAGGAGGAGGGAGAGGAGAGGAGGGAGGGAGGGAGAGAGGGAGGAGGGGAGGAGGAGGGAGGAGAAGGGAGGAGGAGGAGGGAGGAGGAGGGTGGAAGAGGAGGAGGCGGGAGGAGGAGGGAGGAGGGGGGAGGAGGAGGGAGGGGCAGGCAGGAGGAGGGAGGAGGAGGGAGGAGGCTCGAGGAGGGAGGAGTGGGGAGGAGGAGGGAGGAGAAGGAAAAAGGAGGAAGGAGGAGGAAGGAGGGAGGAGGAGGGAGGAGGAGGAAGAAGGAGGAGGAGGAGGAGGAGGAGGAGGAGGAAGAAGGAGGAGGAGGAGGAGGAGGAGGAGGAGGCGGAGGTGGCGGTGGCGGCGGCGGGGCCAGCCCTTGTTGCCAGCAGCGCCCGGCGCCAGGCCGCCCTCCTGACGACCGGCGGAGGGTGCGAGGAGGACCTCGAGCTCCCTGGGGGGGGGTGGCGAGGCCAGAGGAAGAGGCTCAGGAGGAGAAAAAACACACACAGACACAATTAATCGTCGATTCCCCAGAAAATACGGGAAAATATGGGAGGTGGGGGGGAAGCCGAAAATACAAAAGATATGGGAAAACATGGGGAGTCCTGTCATTTGTGTGTATTTACTTGTGTGTCCTAGGGCCCCTTGAGAGGCTTCGAGGATCTTGCCTGGCCTCTCCTTCTCTTTTCGTCTCTCACCGTCAGGGGCACGCTCTGCCTGCAAGACGGGTCCCTCCGCTCGTGCGCTCGGGGGCGGTGCGCACGAGGCACTGTTCACGGAGGGTCCTAGAACAACGTGCGATGGAGGGGTGCTTTGCCGGGGTGTATGTTGGGGAGGATGGGTGATGACGATGCTGCTGATGATGATGATGAGGATGAGGATGAGGATGAGGATGATGATGAGGAGGAGGAGGATGAGAGGGAGGAGGAGGAGGATGAGAGGGAGGAGTAGGAGGAGAGGGATGATTGTTGTGATGAAAATGCGGCTGCTGATGATGCTTCTGCTGAGGATGATGGTGTCGTGACGATGAGAAGGATACGGAAGGTTACGATGAGGATGAGGGCGATGAGGAGGAGTATGATGATGATGCTGATGATGATGATCATGATGACGATGGCGATGATGATCACGATGACGATGATAATGATTATGATGATTATGATGGTGATGCTCATTATGACGATGGCGACGACGAAGCCGATGCCGATGTTGATCATGATAAGACGACGATGATGGTGATGGTGATGGTGATGGTGATGATGATGATGATGCTGCTGCTGATGATGATGATGATGATGATGATTATGAGGATGCTGCTGCTGCTGATGATGATTATTGTGACGGTGTTGCTAATGATGATGGTTGTGGCGGTTGCGATGCTGGTGATGATGCTGATGCTGCTGGTCATACTGATGATGACGACGACGATGATGATGATGATGATGATGATGATGATGATGGAGATAATGATGGTGATAATGATGATGATGATGATGCAGATGCCGATTGAGATGATGATGCTGCTGCCGTTGGTGATGATGATGATGATGATGATGATGATGAGGAGGAGGAGGAGGAGGAGGATGATGATGATGATGCTGATGCTGATGCTGATGATGATGATGCTGATGCTGATGCTGATGCTGATGATGAGGATGGTGCTTATGATGATGATGATGATGATGATGATGATGATGATGATGATGATGATGATGATGATGATGATGATGATGATGATGATGATGATGATGATGATGATGATGGCGACGACAACGGTTGTGCTGATCAGGGCGAGTATGGTTAATAATAGCTTGTATGGTCAACTGCGCCTGGAACTCCAGGGGATAAGTAGGGTGCGGGGATGGGTGCGCGGAAGGGTGAACCAGCGGGTGCGCGGGCGACGCGCGCAACGATCGTCTAGCTTTACCTCTTTGCAGTTGCTCTTCGATTTCCACCCGCATCGTCCCCGACCTCAGTAGCTCCTGCTTGTCAGTCTTCGTTCCGCACCACTTCCTACGTGTGCTTCCCGCCCGCCCCCACCTCCCGCTCGTGTCAGTATCGTTGAACCGACCCCCATCCCCACCCCCGTCCCCTTCGAGACCCCTACGAAATTCCCCCCCCCCCCCCCCCCCAGGTGAGGATACACCCCTCGAAACCCGAAGGGAACGGCCCGTATCCCCGTCCAGGGGGGTGCACCGGCCAGCGGGGCCCGGGCCACGCCGCTGGGGAGGGGGATCGGATGAACGATGCTCATCGTGGGGCTTGGACGGCGGGGGCGCGGGTACACCTTAGGCGATGCTTAAGAAAACTTAAGTTTTCGGCCAGAGTCTCGACTATTCTTAACGTTTCAACGTAAATCCCAAGATTTTAATAGAAATGTTGGGTTTTTATTCAAGTTCTGAGACTATGAATTTCTTAACCCATGATTTCTTAAGCATTTCGCAAGGGGTATGGCGCAGGCGGCCGCCGCGAGCACCGCGGGGCGGCGGGGAAGGGGCGCGGGAGGGCAGGGCGGCGGCAGGGCGTGGCAGCGCGGTCGCTCGCCGCATTGGCGAGCAGGGGCGCTCCCCCCGCGAGGGCCCGCGCGGGGCGGGGCCGCGGGCGAGGGCGGCACGACGTGCAACAGGCGAGTTTTTTTTTTTTTTTTTTTTTTTGTTTCTTCTCTTCTCTCTCTCTCTCTCTCTCTCTCTCTCTCTCTTTTTAACAAAAAAATATATTTATTTATTTAATGAATTATTATTATTATTTAGTATTCTCAGTATTATTATTATTATTTTTACGTAAGAGCTTCGCCCCATGCCGCCGGCCCCCTGTCTCGGATGACGGGAGATGCGAAAGCTAAATCATGAGGTCTGGGCGCCGCCGTGACGCAGTGTCGGGACCTGTTTGTTTTTTCGACCCTGGCCCTACGGATCTGCGTCGCGGGTGCCCCCGAATTGCAGAAATGTAGCAAATCCCCAGGGTTTCTGGATCCTGTCCCTAGCGGTGCCGCCGAATTTCAGAAATGTGTCAAATCTCATGTGTTTTTTGGACCCTGACACTGCCGATCTGCATGAAGGTGCCGCCGAATTTCAGAAATGTGGCGAATCTCTTGTCTTTTTGGACCCTGACCCTGCCGATCTGCGTGAGGGGTTGCACCGAATGTCAGAAACGTGGCAAATCCAATATTTTTTTGGACCCTGACCCTGCCGATCTGCGTGAGGGTGCCGCCGAATTTCAAAAATGATGCAAATCCATTATGTTTTTGGACCCTGACCCTGCGGATCTGCGCCAGGGGTGCCTTCGAGTTTCAGAAATGTGGCAAATCCTTTGTGTTTTTGGACCCTGACCCCGCCGATCTGCGTCAGGGGCGCCGCCGAGTTTCAGAAACGTGGCAAATGCTATGTGTTTTTGGATCCCGACCCCGCCGATCTGCGTGAGGGTGGCCCCGCCCGAATGTCAGAAATGTTGCAAATCCATTATGTTTTTGGACCCTGACCCCGCCGATCTGCGTGAGGGGTGCCGCCGAGTTTCAGAAATGTGGCAAATCCTTTGTGTTTTTGGACCCTGACCCCGCCGATCTGCGTGAGGGGTGGCACCGAATGTCAGAAACGTGGCAAATGCTATGTGCTTTCGGACCCTGACCCTGCCGATCTGCGTGAGGGGTTGCACCGAATGTCAGAAACGTGGCAAATCCAATATTTTTTTGGACCCTGACCCTGCCGATCTGCGTGAGGGGTGCTCCCGAATGTCAGAAATGTAGCGAATCCAAATGTTTTTGGACCCTGACCCCGCCGATCTGGTGCCACCAGATGTCAGAAATGTTGCAAATCCATTATGTTTTTGGACCCTGACCCCGCCGATCTGCGTGAGGGGTGCCGCCGAGTTTCAGAAATGTGGCAAATCCTTTGTGTTTTTGGACCCTGACCCCGCCGATCTGCGTGAGGGGTGGCACCGAATGTCAGAAACGTGGCAAATGCTATGTGCTTTCGGACCCTGACCCTGCCGATCTGCGTGAGGGGTTGCACCGAATGTCAGAAACGTGGCAAATCCAATATTTTTTTGGACCCTGACCCTGCCGATCTGCGTGAGGGGTGCTCCCGAATGTCAGAAATGTAGCGAATCCAAATGTTTTTGGACCCTGACCCCGCCGATCTGGTGCCACCAGGTGTCAGAAATGTTGCAAATCCATTATGTTTTCGGACCCTGACCCTGCCGATCTGCGTGAGGGGTGCCGCCGAGTTTCAGAAATGTGGCAAATCCCATATGTTTTTGGACCCTGACACCGCCGATCTGAGTGAGGGGTGCCACCGAATTTCAGAAATCTGGCAAATCCTTTGTGTTTTTGGACCCTGACCCCGCCGATCTGCGTGAGGGGTGTTAATTTTTACCGACCCCAGCAATTCAGAGCATAGGATTTCTCCGTGGAAAACATGTTCGTTTTGGGCCTCCCCCCCTCGCGCGGTCCATCAACAAGGAACAGTAAGCAGCAAGAAGTCAACAAGGAACTGAAAGCAGCAAGAAGAAGAATTGTAACAGTGGAAACTGGAAGCTGCAACTGGTACAGGAAACTGCGTAGCTTCGTCCTACAGCCTGATGGACCCACAGGGGGGCCGGCGGATTTTGAAATTCCAATCGGTTACCATTCAGGATTCATTTTAATTTCCAACACCATGGCGACTTCTCGACCGTGGCCACCGTGGGCAATACAGAACTCCCCACGCGCGCGCGCGGGTGGCCATGGTCACCCGCGCGCGGCGGGTGACCCGCGCTCGCGCGCAGGTCACCCGAAATCCATTCGGTCACCCTGCAGTGCCCATTTCATTTTCCAGGCCAACACGGCGACTTTTCCATCGTGGGCAACACGAAACTCCACACGCGCGCACACGCGCGCGCGCGGGTCACCCGAAGTCCGGCCGGTCACTGTTAAGGGTTTACTTCAGTTTCGAGGCCAACACGGCGACTTATCGGTATTGGACCACACAGGGTTCCCTACGCGTGACGGGCCCATGCGAACAAGCCAGGATCGGCAGCGCTCGACGTGCGGGTGACAGATGATGTGCTCTGCGGGTTTCGCGGTGGCCCCCTTAGCTGGGGAACGGGTGGGCGACGGAACCGCCCGCTTTTCCCCCACATCGGCGGGCGCAGATCTCCGAGTCTTTTGGAGCGACGATTGGCCCCACACGTGAAGACAGCGCGGCGGTGAGACGAAACCTTCGTTCGGCTTTGAAGAAATCTTGCGCGGTCTACGGTGAATCTCCTGCTACGTCTCCCGCGCGCGCTGACCCCCACGTGCCCACAGTGCCAGTTCCCATGCCGTGCGCACGTCGCACTCGCAAGATTTTTGTTTGGAATTCGTTTCTGGCCGCCGAACTTAACACCCATGAGTACATCCATTCAAACACCCATGTTGCCACCGCCCAGTGATCCATGTAAATCCCACATAGAACGGTGGTACAATAATTAGTTACTATAAATATGATACTGCTATCAACCATATTATGATGATGCTGACGATGATGGTGATGATGATGCTGATGAGGGTGAAGAGGAGGAGGGATAGAAGGATGGGGCGGAGGAGGAGGCGGAGGAGGGAGGAAGAGGGGGTCCTGGGGACGAGAGACAGGGGAGGGCAATTTCCCCCGGCCTTCTGACTTTCCCTCTGCCCTTGCCGCCCGCCGCTCCTTCCCTCCGCTCCTCTCTCGTCCTCCCTTCCTCCACCCTGGCGCCCTGGCCATTCGCACGAAATGGA